GCACTGTGCTTGTTTTGCCAGGTGTGGAAGCCTCCCAGCAACAGCACCAGACCATTTGCAGAAATGCAGATATGAAGACCAGTAACTGGCATCCCAGAATGCCAGCTACCTCAGCCAGAATGCTTGAAGGGTACAGGACTGGTGTAAATTTGGTGCAAGAATCTGTTCAGTAAGTTAATTATATAGAAACAAGGGCAATGGTGAGAAAATTCATAGATGACCTCTAAGCTCCACATACTATCACTGGCCTTACAGAAACCAAGATAGAGGTGAAGAACTGGGAATAGCAGCCAAATTCCCCACTTAAAAAAGCAGGCATGATAAATTATTCCAAACTCTCTACATCCACTTATGCTATATGCATGTACTTAAAAGAATTTTAAAAGACAGAGAAAAAGGGATCAGGGCACATTTCCTTCAGAGGCCAGAACAGTGATAACTCAACAAATACGTGTAATCTTAGGAGGTTTCCCTTGCCTGGATTAATTCATAGCTGAAGGCTGTTACAGCAAGGGATGATCAGTCAGATGGCAGACTGTCTTGCTCAGAGATCGGTGCAGTCAGGAGCTGGGCTTGGCATTGAAGCATTTTCATTTATTCTGCACAAAGAAGGATCCGCTTGAGAGAGATTATCCGTGGATGGTAGTTATGTATTAGATGCATATAAATAGCAAATTAAACCTCTGTATTCCCAAAGTGGGTATTCAGAAAGTAGAACCGGTCTGACCACTCACTTGTCTTGACTAACAGATGGTAAGTGACTGAACAGCTCCGTCCTTTTCTAGCGACAATGTACTTGCGACTGCCTCTGAGCAACACAGAATTTGTAGTCTGCAGAACCTAGCGAGCTTGGGAAGGGGGTAAAAAACTACATTTCATTAGCCCTGGGTACATATATTTCCTTCTTCACACAGAAGAGGAAGATTATGAGCACATGCTTAGCAGGTTATCAAAAAATAGATTAATATTCTCTTTTCCTCAGTGGTCTTCTCAGTAACTCCACTGGAAATTAGAGCTCCGTTGGTCTAAAGTCACATTTCTTAGAATTTTGAAGTTTTAGGGAAGCTTGTTCACTTTGCAAGCACTTTGACCAAGATCAGTATTTGTATACTGTGATCAGTATTTGTATACTGTACACTGTAATTAAAGAGTATACTTTTCTAGGTGGCCTAGACCATGAAAACGTAGTCCTGAAGAGCTTTTTGCTCAGATATTCCTTCCTCTGTCAAGATATGCCACGCTTTCCACAAAATAATTAACATTTTGGAACTATTCCTTAAATTCTTGTTACTAGAACAGGGTTGGTGTTTTTTTTCCCCCTGGTAGTAATATTCTTTTTAAAGATGTGGGACAAGGAGCGATTAGATAACATTACCATTTTATCTTATGCAAACCCCAAATGGTACAGCAATCTCTCGTGATCATTCTCAGTAACACTGATTTGAGCTACAGGATACGCTCTTACCCT